AACAAACGACGACAACAAAATCCCCACATGTGTATTGTGGTTTCAGTGAGCTTTCAGGAGGAAATAAAAATAAAAGTGTGTCTTTTTGAGGTGATGTTTTTACCCTTTCATTTTTATCTTTGTGTTCACAGCGTTCTGAATCACCTCTGCCTCTCTTCCCTGCTGCTCACACCCTTCCCCCTGCTCAGGGTCCTCCTCTTGTGCCCTGTCCCTCTGGTCTACTCATTTGTTAAGAGCCGACTCTGCTAAAACCTCCCCATAAACTGACCTTTCCAAGTGAGAGTGATCTTTCCTTCCTGAGTTCACAAAACATTTTTTTTTTTTTTTGGTGTAGTTTTCTTTGAACTCATGGTCTACCTCTTTTTTATGACTTGTTTATGTTTTGTCAGATAAATTTTATTTTATTTTTGAGATGGAGTCTCGCTCTGTTGCCCAGGCTGGAGTGCAGTGGTGTGATCTCAGCTCACTGCAACCTCTGCCTCCCGGGTTCAAGTGATTCTCCTGGGACTACAGGAGAAGGAGGAGCTGGGACTACAGGTGCACGCCACCATGCCTGGCTAATTTTTGTGCTTTTTGTAGAGACAGGGTTTCATCATGTTGGCCGGGTTGGTCTCTAACTCCTGACCTCAGGTGATCCGCCTGCCTCGGCCTCCCAAAGCGCTGGGATTATAGGTGTGAGCCACTGTGCCTGGCCTGTCAGATATATTTTAATTTCTGATGATGGGTGATGATTGTTTCTTTGCCTTCATGCAATGCTTTGCATGTAGTAAATACTCAAATTTTTTTTATCAACATAGATTTTTTTCAGTGATCTTTTTCTGGTCTTAAGTTAGACAGGATATTGACCATTGCTGTATGCCATGGTTAATGCAAAAGTAGGGTGCTATTTCTAGTTGCAGATACTTTTCTTGAAATTTGCACATGCAGGTAATATGTGAAGCTTATGCATTATACATGTCATAACTCACGAAAGCTCATTAACTTGTTGCATAGGATAACGATGCTGTTTATAGAATCGTAGGTTAGGAAGTAGTCTGTCCTTAAGACTTTGAGCTGTTCTCTCTTACCACATCCTGGAGTAGAGTGGGCCTCAGCATTCCTTGCAACTTGCATCTTGTAGGGTTACCTCTGCTTACATTCCAACTTAGTCTTCGGAAATGTTCTCTCTAGCACTAGGCCAGGTGAAGGTCATGTTCTTTATCTGAATAAGAGCAGTGATTCTTCATGTGGTTTTGCCTCCAGGTTTCTTCTGTGGGTTTGGACCTATCCTTGCAAGCCTTGCCCCATGGGGACATTCACTGCTTGATCATCTATTTGATGGATGAACTCTGCTCCTCATTTGTTGCTGTGTATGATGGAGTTTTGGTTGTCATAATACACAATTATTGTTAAAGTCTTTTGTTATTTTAAATGGACATATCCTGAATGAGAAACCTTCTTCTTTTTTAATTGAATGTTGTGTCATGTTTGTTTATTCACCCAATGACTGATGCAATTATTGTAGAATTAGAGTTTATTGGTAGTATGAAAAGTGGCTTATCATAACTTTTATCTTCCCCCTAAGAGATGGGGCCTCACTCTGTTGCCCAGGCTGGAGTGCAGTGGTGTATTCACAGCTCACTGCAGCCTTGAACTCCTGTGCTCAAGGGATCCCCCTGCCTCAGTCTCCCACTTAGCTGGGACTGCAGGTGTGGGTCACTATGCCTTGGCCTTCTAAAGTTCTGAGATTACAGGGATGAGCCATCATGCCAGACCTTATCACAATTTTTTGCCCAGCTACTTTTCTAAGTGTCTATGGACTGGACAGCAAAGATTCCTACCGTTATTATTTTAAACTTTTAATGCAAACTACTACAAAGTCGAATCAGTAAGTATGCTCTAACTTTTTCTCTATTGGATACTGGACTCTTCCCTTAAAAATAAAGCAAGTCCCCTGTTCATTGAAAGAGAATTATGTTATGAAAGCTGCCAGTTAAAATCTCCCAAGAGAGCACTGTTCTAAGGAGTTGTATTTCTCAGTGGCAAAAATATCCTTCCTGGTTTTTAAACTCTTGTGGGAGGAGGTCAATTTTACATGTTTTTTTTTTTTTTTTTTTTTTTTTTTCCAATGCAGCATGCTCTGTTGGGGTTACTGTTGATCTCCTGCTCAGTTCTTTTCAAAAAGTCGTATCCGTTCAGCACATTTTTGTGGAGTGGCATTTAGTAAGTGGCAGCCTGATATTTGCCTTGGCATGATGTTATCATGACTGCTTGGCATAGCTGACTGTTGAGTCAGGACCCCTCCAGAAGCAGTAGTCAACTGTTGACTCTCAAAATTGAAAAGCCTTGATCAGTTAGTTGGAGGATTGTAAGTCAAGTTTATAGAGTATTTCAAAGAGGGGGTAACAAATTCTGCTGATAGACCAAATAAGATGAGGACAGACAACAGACTTTTGTGTTAAGCATTGTGGAGGCTGTTGTGGATGTGATGGAAGAGGAAGCCTGATTGGAATGGGGTTATGGGAGGAAACACGCTTGAAGCAAGTATGGACAATTCTTTAAAAAATTTTGCTGTGAAGATCTTCAGAGAATTGGTATAATAACTGGAAGGCAAAGTAGTGTCAACGAAAGGTTTTGTGCGGCGTGTGTAAAAATAGTTCACAGCCTTTAAAGGCTGGTGCTTGACACCTGACTGCTATCTTCCATGCGATTGTGGTTTTTAGGAACATTAACAGTGGGACAGGCTGGGCTCTGTGGCTCATGCCTAATCATCCCAGCACTTTGGGAGACTGAGGTGGGAGGATTGCTTGAGCCCAGGAGTTGGAGGCTGCAGTGAGCTATGATTGCACCATTGTACTCCAGCTTGGATGACAGAGCGAGACTCTGTATATAAACAAAAGGAAACAGTGGGCTGGAGTTCGACTGCTGATCTGCTTTGGGGGTGTGATGGTCAGGAAAAGCTCTTGGAGAAGAGGATGCCTGAGAAGTCTTGATGAACGGACAGGGCTGGCCTGGAGGGTAAGGTGGGGTCTAGGCATTGGAGGCCTTGGGCACAGAGTTGGGGGGAAGTTGTGCAGGGCCTAACAGGCTGTGAAAGGGAAAATGCTGGGGAAAAGGTGGAAATGTAGCAGGTTCTGAGGGATGAAGTTATGAGGTTGAGAAAGTCCTTAGGTGGGGATTTATTTCTAAGGGGTGGCTACAAATATTATATAAAGGCTGCAGATAATGATCTCATCTGGAGGGAGTGAACAGGATCAGGAGGCTTAAAGAATGTTTTCGTAAGCCACATTTTGGAGGTCGGTGTGCTTGTGTGTGTGGAAGTATTTTAGAAATGAAAGCTGATATTTAAGTTGATTGGTTCACCCTTGAGCTTGCTTGGTGGGAAGAGGTGGGCAGGATGTGGCTATTCTAAGTGGCCACGGGGCACCTCTTCCTTATTCACCCCCAGGACATTATTTCCAATTTTCCTTGAAGAGGAAATACCATTTACCATTAGTAAATGGTTTTGGGACTTCATTCTTTGGGGATTCAACACATCTGGACTTGACAAATTCTGGAGCTGTCTCAGTGGCAGGTGTCCCAAGGACTCTTGGATGATATTGTAATTGGGATTCATGTGCAGTCAGAATAGGCCCCACAAATGAATAGGATGCCAAGGGGTGTGTGTGTGTGTGTGTGTGTGTGTGTGTTTTACAAACTTAACTGTCAGCGTTCTATATAAATGATTCCTTTTATAGAGGTCCAGATAGATGAGGGTTCAGAGGAACTCTGTTACTTGCATAATGGTTTTAATGGTAATGCTTACTAACTTTGAGGATTAAGGTCTGAGTTACTTGCTGTGCTGGTTAAAAAGTGACAAGGATTGATCATTCTGCATTTTTAAAATAAGCATTCCATTTTAGTGATTTTTAGGCATGCTTTGTTAGAGATGGACTTGGAGAACTTCTTAAGAATATGGATTCTCCCCGCACCCCTTCTCCAGGGTCTTGGTCAGTAGATCTGTAGTAGGGTCCAGGAATCTGTATTTGAAGTCTCATTAATCGTTTGCCTCCTTCTTGCAATCTTTGCTTTAGGAAAGAACTGTACCAAACATCACCTTTTAGGTTTGAAGAATGGAGGATTAACTTGAACTTTTGGATAGCAAAAGCAGTAGGGAATGGTGAAACATACAATTTAGTATATTTTCATTTGAACATGTATGTGAGAGTGATGTAGAAGTTCAGAAACACACAACAGTATTCCTTCAGATAATTTGAAAGCAGAGTTTTAAGGATTTTAAAATATGCATACACCATATAAAAGTGTATAAAATTTAAAATATGTCCTTTTTGTTTTCATTCTCCCCAATCCCACTGCAGGATAACCACTGAAAATTTGTGTGTGTGTGTGTGTGTGTGTGTGTGTGTGTGTGTGTGTGTGTGTTTAGGCATTTTGATGTGTGTGTGTGTGAGATTTTGTCTCTGTATAAAGAAACTCAAACCACACAGGATGTGCTTTGTTCACTGGTCTTGTCAGCGCCTTCTGTGTCCCTATCTTTAGACCTGTTTGTAAGAAACACTTTGAGTCACCAAGTTGTGCAAACTACTTTATGCAGATAAGCAAAAATACGAATTCTTCAGACACATAATATGTGCTGTTTGCTTATTAGAATATTTCTGTAGATTGCACTGGGGGGATTAATAAGTATGATAAGTATTTCATATATTGGGCAGTAGGAAATGTAGTATGCTTTAGAGAAATCAATATTACTTCTGCAGCACATATTGCTGATTTGTGCAGTTCTATTATAATAGAGTATCAGCATCAGAGCCAAAGGGAAGAGTGTGTATGAGTCACTCCATAAAAGGAGCAGTGACTCAATACCAAACTTAGGGTGCTGCCTGAATTTTTAATCAATTGCAGTATTGTTGATATGGGGTTGATTCCTTTTTATGGGCAGGAAGTTATCATGGTTTGAAATGTCTAATTCCCTTTTGGTGATGCTAACTTGCTATATTCAATGTTTCTGTTCTTTCGTATAGGACCCAAACTACTGGATACAAGTGCATCGCTTGGAACATGGAGATGGAGGAATACTAGACCTTGATGACATTCTCTGTGATGTAGCAGACGATAAAGACAGAGTGAGTTCAAGTCCTGGGGAACCTTTTTGAATGCATTTTTTTTTTCTTTTCAGGGCTGAGGACCGGGTGCGATTCTTTTCCTTTCTGTTTTAGACACATACTTTAAATTATGTTTGGGCCACCCACTCTAGTATATTTTCTTTTGTGATAAGTGTCATGAATCTTCACTGTCTTGAATACCAAGGTATAATGATTTTCTTGATACCTGGGACTTAACACTAGATTTTGGGGTTTTAAAACTACAGCTTTTACAATGGAAATATCACAAAAAGATTTCTATGCAATATTCCACCTTAATTTAACCAAACATAACATCTTTCTTCACAACTCGGGCCTGTCCTTATCATCTCCGTATATACAGTGTACAGCCGTTCTGCATTCTGGTCCCAGTGTTGGCCCAGAGAAGATTGATCCCAACAGCGGCCTGTGCGGTGCACCGTGTTCCTGTGCGACGGGCGAGTGTGTCCCAGGCAGCCTCCCCTGTGTGGGGCCTGGCCCTTAGGAAGCTCGGCCTTGCTGTGTGATGGGCCATTTGTGTCCTGGGCAGCCTCTCCCATGCAGGGCCTGGGTCTCAGGAAGCTCAGCCTTTTCTCTGTCAGTGCTCTGATGCCCTGTGTGTGCTTCCCCGGTCTTTACTGTGGTATGTGAGTTTGGCTCCTGGACGTTTCCACCTACTACTCTTCCGCGTTCCCTCCCACTACCCCACTTTTTTTCTGTACTCTTGAGAGGAATGAAGAAGAGTAAGAGGAGGGGGAGGAGGAATGTTCATCGTTTTGAGAATGCCTGACAGGATGTTTGGCTCTTTTTTTTTTTTTTTCAGACAGAGTCTCGCTTTGTTGCCCAGACTGGAATGCAGTGGCATGAGCTCAGCTCACTGCAGCCTCCGCCTCCTGGGTTCAAGCGATTCTCCTGTCTCAGCCTCTTGAATAGCTGGGATTATAGGCATGCGCTACCATGCCCGGCTAATTTTTGTATTTTTAGTAGAGACATGGTTTCACCGTGTTGGTCAGGCTGGTCTCAAACTCCTGACCTCATGATCCGCCTGGTTTGGCCACCCAAAGTGCTGGGATTACAGACATGAGCCACCGCACCCAGCCCTGGCCACTGCTTTTGTATTTGGCAGAAGGGCTCATAGCCACATACATAGTTACATCAGCATGGTTGTATGGAGGCAGCGACCTGGTTGACTGTCTCCTAAAACCTCATGGCAGTAGCACAGGATATTCAACCAGCTAGGTTACCTCACGAGGTCAGAATATGGTAAGATCACCCAGATACTCACTCTGCTTCCTACTGGGGCTCCCTCTGGTTGCTGGCCCTCTCCCTGCCAGCCTGCTCTTCTTTCCCTCAGCCGTGAGCTGGGTGCACACAGCTGTTGTGTCTTGCTCACAGCTATATTCCTGACAGCGTCATGCCTGGCTGAGAGTTGGTGCATATCTTAAATTTTTTTTCTTTTTTTTTTGAGACGGAGTCTCGCTCTGTCGCCCAGGCTGGAGTGCAGTGGCCAGATCTCAGCTCACTGCAAGCTCCGCCTCCCGGGTTCACGCCATTCTCCTGCCTCAGCCTCCTGAGTAGCTGGGACTACAGGCGCCTGCCACCTTGCCCGGCTAGTTTTTTTGTTTTTTTTTTGTATTTTTTTCAGTAGAGACGGGGTTTCACCGTGTTAGCCAGGATGGTCTCGATCTCCTGACCTCGTGATCCGCCCGTCTCGGCCTCCCAAAGTGCTGGGATTACAGGCTTGAGCCACCGCGCCCGGCCTAAAATTTCAAGTAAGACAAAAAAACATCAAATACCAAATATTGTGTAAATTTGGAAGATTAGATTCACTGTTGCACCTGTCACTGTGGAGTTTGTCCCATGTGGCTCCTGTGGGCCAGGAATACATTGTATCAAAAAATGCAGAAGTTTTCTGCCTTATGTTCTGATGCTATTTTTCTTGGTGTCATTTCTCCTTCTTGGGCTTTTGAGTGAGCCAGGCTTAGGGTAACTCTGAAATCCTTTTCTGCAGTCCACTTGAAGAGGACCATCTTTCATTTATTGTGTGGCTCAATTCCAACATTTAAGGCAACTACAGAGATTTATGAAGAATTTAAACAGGTGCTCTTTTTCCACCAGAATGTTTCAAAGGGGTGAATTAATGTATCAATCTTTCAATGTCTTCCTCTTCTCCCTCCTTCTTCCTTCTTTTTTTTTTTTTGGTCTTCTCTCCTCCCTCTCTTTCTCGGTCCCTCTCTCCTTGTTACTTCCTATGTAAAAATAGCACAACTCCATGTGAGGAAAAATTGGAAAATGCAGAAACATACAAAGGAACTAATCGCCTGCCATCCTGCTGTTGCTGAGAGCTCATCACTGTTGTTTGAGGTTTTCATCCTGACTCTTCCCTTTCTTCAGATAGATAGAGACACAGTCTTTTTCTTTTAAACAAAGAAACTTGAATAGTAGCTTTTTTTTTTTTTTTTTGAGGTTAGCATATATATATTTCTGTGACCATGAACCATAGCTATGCCAACGTGGCTGTGTAGTCTTTTGTTTAAATTTAATTTACTGATTTAGAGACCCAAGCTGTCACCCAGGCTGGAGTGCAGTGGCATAATCATAGCTCACTGCAGCCTCAACCTCCCAGGCTCAAGCGATTTTCCTGCCTCAGCCTTTTATTTGAAAAAGAGTTGTATTCTAGATTCAGGGGCACATGTGCAGGTTTGTTATATAGGTAAACTGAGTGTCATGGGGGTTTGGTATACAGATTATTTTGTCACCCAGGTAATAAACATAGTACCCAGTAGACTAATTTTTTGATCCTCTCCCTCTTCAAGTAGGCCCTGCTGTCTGTTGTTTTCCTTTTTATGTTCATGTGAGATCATGCATTATTTGATTTTCTCTTCCCATGTTAGTTCACTTAGGAATAATAGCCTCCAGCTCCATTCATGTTGTTGCAAAAAACATAACCTTGTTCTTTTTTACGGCTGCTTGGTATTCCATGATATGTTTGTACCATTTTTTCTTTATCCAGTCTACCACTGATATGTATTTAGGTTGATTCCATGTCTTTGCTATTGTGAATAGTGTTGTGATGAACATATGTGTGCGTGTGTCTTTATGGCAGAACAATTTCTTTGGATATATACATAGTAATGGGATTGCTGGGTTGAATGATAACTCTGTTTAAATTCATTGAGAAATTGCCACACTGCATTCCACGATGGCTGAACTAATTTACATTCCCACCAGCAATGTATAAACATTCCCTTTTCTCCTCACCCTTGCCAGCACCTGTTATTTTTTGACTTTTATTTTTTTCCTTCAGATTTCTCACACCACACGGATGTATTGTTTGACTTAATAATAGCCACTCTGACTGGTGTAGGTGATGTCTCATTGTGGTTTTGATTTGTGTTTCTCTGATAGTAATGTTGAACTTTTTTTCATAAGCTTATTGGCCATGTGTATGTAGTCTTTTGAAAAGTGTCTGTTCTTGTTCTTTGCCCCCCCCCTTTTTTTTTTGAGATGGAATCTTGCTCTTTCGCCCAAACTGGAGTGAAGTGGTGCGATCTTAGCTCATTGCAACCTCCGTTCCCTGGGTTTAAGTGATTCTCTGGCCTCAGCCTCCCGAGTAGCTGGGATTACAGGTGCCCACCACCATGCCCAGCTAATTTTTGTATTTTTAGTAGATACAGGTTTTTGCCATGTTGGCCAGGCTGGTCTCAAACTCCTGACCTCACGTGATCCACCCACCTTGGGCCTCCCAAAGTGCTAGGATTACAGGCATAAGCCACCACGCCTGGCCTCCTTGCCCACTTTTTAATGGGGTTGTTTTATGCTTGTTAGTTTGCTTCAGTTCTTTATAGATGGTGTGTATTCACCCTTTGTTGGATGCATAATTTGCTAATATTTTCTCCTGTTCTGTAGGTTGTCTGTTTACTCTGTTGATAGTTTCTTTTGCTCTGCAGAAGGTTTTTAGTTTAATTAGGTCCCATTTTTCAATTTTTGTTTTTGTTGTAAATTTTTTGCTGTTTTCATCATAAAGTCTTGTCCAGGACCTGTAGTCAGAATGGTATTTCCTAGGTTATCTTCCAGGG